CTCACACCCTACTGGGTATGAAGTTAACTATTCACATCACTACGAAAAAGTTTACCTTTACAGTCAGCCATGTTAAGTGCATGCAGTGTGCACTTGTTCCAAGTAGTGAAGATTTTGCCTGTGTCTCCAGGTAATAACCAATGCTTGTTTATTGCTAATATTTTTTTTTATTGTGTATATTTTTACACAGGCGATATTTTTCTGCTCGTCTCCAGGTGATAAAAAAACTTGTGTATATTTCAATGTAGAAACAGACTTTTTATTGTACAGTATGTCTGTATACAGTAAAATGTTATCTTGCTCTCCAACAGATAAGCAACATTTATTTTGAATTCTTCTAGAAAGTGACAAGGACAGTGTGGACCTTCACCGGACGTACAGGACGGCCAGCTTAAACTCCTCCAGTACCATAAATTAACTCATTTGCGCATTTTTTGCGGCTTTGCCGCTGGCTAGCTCCTCAATGAGCGTCATTACTTGCTCAGCTCATTAACAAGGTCGTTGTGTATTAATCTTTACAGACAGCTTGCAATGGCCAGGAACTGATGTAATAGAGTTAAATAATAAACAACAAAGTACACATCAAGAACGAAAATAAAAATTAATGTAAAATATGAGTTTCAATTACAACAATATTTCGGCCAATATCTTATATGTTCTGATGGCATTCTCCATGAATCTATGATTCTTATATCTAGCAAAGCAATATTTGCGTCCGGCAGTCATCTTTGTTTAACTACCAGAAAAGTCTCTCAAAGTCAGGGGCTGATATTTTCTACAAAGTATCGATGGTTTAGTGTACATACTGTACACTGCAATGTACACAGTTTCTAATGGGCAGTCAACGCTATGAGACCCATTTTACTTTTTCATCAAAATGTGACATGCAGCTACCTTGACATCATGATGCTAACCCTGGGTTATTCTCTAACACGATCTTCTGTTTAGGTGTAGTGTAGGCAAGATGCATGCTTCACAGACCATGTACAGGTGGAAGATAAAACAAAGAAACAGACAGAGAAAGAGCGAAAAGAATGAGATATAATTTGACAGATCGATAAATGGATAAGCCTTACTGACAATTTAACCCTTTCACTACGGGGACGCCACTTATAATATTTTATTTGGCTAATACAAGACGACTTTATCCAGTACAGAGAAACACCCAGGGGGCACACAAGGGGTTAATCTGGTCGTTTGCCCCTAATTGGAAACGAAATATTATTGGAAGATTAAAATTTAAAGAGATAAACAAATAAAATACAAGGACAGTTCATATTAAGTTGTCAAAAAAGGTAGTTACAGGAAGTACTGGATCAGTAGAAGGATATACTAGTATTCTAATAATATTAAAATAATAATAATAATAATAATACAAATAAAGATAAAAATGAGTGAAACAGTTTGACAATGTATAAAACGAAGTGTACAAAATTCTATTGGTGTACTTTGTGTTTTCTTGTTAATGGACTTGAGCAGGGCGAGTGTGTGCATGCACTGTACAAATCAAACATTCATATTATAATGACTACGTGGAACTTACTTATTTTGCTGTTAACCTTGTACAGTATTTTATGGTTATTAACAATACGGGTATATTCACCCAAACAAATATACATAAGATGACTGTTGGTGTAGTATTGACGAGGGCACTTTGCTTAGGGCCAAGTTTCTCGTGGAATCAACTTTACCCATTGAGATAATTCATATTTAATAGTCTAAATGGAGTAAAATTTAAGGGACTTACATCATAAAAATCCAGCCCAATCATGAATATTTAGACAAGAGATGGGGAAAATACTTGGTTTATAACTATCCTATGTCAACCATTGTGTGATAAGTGACGACAGATCGATCTATGACGACATGTGTGAATATTTATATAATGCAAATAATACTTAAATGTATAATACCAGTGGTTTTGATAGGTGGAAGGGAAACACAGGGATGAGTTGACTTTCTTTACTACTCTAACGTTTCGGGCTACACGGAACCCATCTTTAAGGAGTAGTAGTAGGTATGTAGAGAAAAAACCCAATAACTCTACGGAATTCCTCAGTGGATATCATGAACTCTGATCTAGAAGACGTGAGAAATGCAGGGAGACCTGACAGTTGTAGCATTAGTAAATATGACAAATTTTGTGACAAGAGGTACCGGTATGGCCAGCATAAGGACAGAACCAGACAATGTGATGTAGTCGTGGCCAGAATTAGGGTAGGATACAGACACATCTGGCAAGTTAGTAACGCTGTACCCATACCGGAGCACTCAGCATGTAAACTTTGTGATAAACCTTTAAAGCATACACTTGAACACTATATTATTGAATGTGACACTGTCAAAGACTTCAGGCCACCTGACTTATTGTATCTTGAACTATGTAATTACTTCATTGAATCAGGTGTGCTTGAGGACATTCTTACTGTTTATCCTAAATTTGCTAGCCCACACTGATTAGTCTTCAATTAGAATATGACTCCAATGTATGTGATCCACTGACCTATATATACTGCTAATGAATATGATGTATTTCCTTCTTTGTGTACGAACCTCTGTCCTGCATGGCAGTGAACAGTGGCATTACCCACATGAATCTGACCGACGTATTTGTATGTATGTGTGTATTTGTGTATGTATGTGTGTATGTGTGCATATGTACATGTATATGTGAATGTATATGTATATATGTATGTATATGTGTATGTGTGTGTGTACATATATGTATATGTACTGTCAATGAATATGATGCATCTCTTTGTGTACGAACCTCTGTCCTGCATGGCAGTGAACAGTGACATTACCCATATGAATCTGACCTCTATACATTTATAGCTCTTAATGAATATGATGTATTTCTTTGTGTATGAACCTCTGTCCTGCGTGGCAGTGAGAAGTGATACCACCCTCAGTGTCAAGACCTGACTGAATAGGCAAACTGTACTACAAGCTCTGCCAATAAATTTGTTAAACTAACTAAACTCCTACCTCTATGCTCTTAAGAAAAATCCGATCACCACTCCCGATTTCATTCTATCAATGTGGGCCGAAAGGTATACGGTGTGGATGAAATCGTCTTTGTTAGATTGGGCTTACGGGAAACTGAACATTTTACACTCTGCTCTGTTCTCCAAATCTTCGTGTCTAGGAAAGGCAATTTGTTTTCTTTCTCTTCCTTCACTGTTAATTGAATATCACTGTTCACAATGTTCAACATTGTTTTTTCTCTCTGAAGATGGGTTTTGTGTAGCCCGAAATGTTATAGTAATAAAGAAAGTCAGCTCATTCCTGTGTTACCCTCCGACCCATTAAAGATGAACGTATCTAATATGCTATAAGTTAGTGAACCCAAAAGAATTTCAAGCTCGAGCGTTTGAGTGAGTAGTTCCTTGCCTCTGCGTTTTATCCTTCCATGAGAAAACTAGATGAATTTTCACCATAAGAAGCTGGTGCTCCATTTTCTACGATGACTGCAAAAGTTTAATTACTCAAAATATGGTGAAGATGAGCCATAAACGTATCCAAGGTCATACTTTACAGGTGAACTTGTTGTAATAATCTTACTCCCTTAAAATAGAGACCTTAAACTTTAAAAAAAGAAAATGAAACTCAAACGAACAAACTAGTAGATTACAGTGACATTATTTTAATACGATATATTTACTCTATATACTCACCATAATACAAACAAATGCTTATAAAATTTAATTACCAATACAGTAAATAGTGCTCATGAAAAGAGCCAGCAGAGACCAATTAACCAAGATTAGATGCTTCAAAAATTTTAGTTAAAGTGTTATGTAATTGGTTTGTTAATTTATCCATCCTTACGTCTCATTCAGTAAGTTTCTTGACTATATGGACAATACTATCTGAAAAAAGAATCTTCTTTGTGTAGTATAAAAAGATAAGGTTAACGCTGCAAACTCTTCCCTCGCTCTTGCCGGGTCATGAAAAATAAATACAGTATTGCGCAATGAAAATGTCTATGACTGCAGAACCCTGAGGCGCATGTGACAACTCAGTTTGTACAGGAACAATCCTCAGTTGAGCCACACCCAAACACCAGGACCCGGGCAGAAGTCAAACAGTCCATTACAACGACTTACACTGTCAAGGTATCGACGTGTTCCTCTTACTAACACACGGTTGTGGTCTTTAAGAGAGAGAGCTTGTGAGAATTAGAGTTATATAGTATACGGATACAGAGATAAAGTGTGAGAAAAAATAAAAATATTCAGAAGAATATTATGATATAAATAAAATAACAGCAATATATCAGTGGAAATTATGTTCGTGATGACACACCTTTAGGTTCGTAAATCCTGTGGGTTAATCCCCCAGTAGTGGAGCCATTATATTGAAAATTGCAGCGCGATCTTGTGAATAAGTTCACTTTATCTTCATCCAGATTTGGAAAATATTAATTAATACGGGATTGCAATATAAGCAAGTGATCTTTTATTATTCCACGTACTTTTGTGGTAAGGGAAATTTAATTTTGTTACAAATTATTAACACAATGAGCTATTTCAGTGCGCGTGATCCATGTATATGCTGATAACCACATAGGAAACAAGTTTTGGGAATTGCCTTTCAGAAGAGAAAATTTTAGGAAACTTTTCTTTCTTATTGTTTCCTCATAAGTACCGTCAACTGAACACGGTTTACTATATACGAGTATGTGGATTCATCAAGAAGAACAGAAAATGCGTCACTATGTATGGTGCGTGACACTCGCTGTAAATTAATGCCAGTTGCCATCAATATTATTCTTACAACAGTATCATTTCAAAGTGGTATTGCTTTCATCGGATCCACTAGTTATCACCATGTATAATTTGGCAACATGTAATGGCAGCTTGTGGAACAAGGGATTCTCTGATTGCATGATTTTTCTGTCTGTGGCAATGAATAAAGCAACAGGTTTGTGAGAGGAATTGTCAGTATGTCATGCACCCTCAATAAACCTGTCACGCTCCCCGTAATTTGAGAACCACTCACCTCAGGGATGGTCGTGCACTATATCCTGCACCTTCCACAGAAGTGTGGGTTGTTTAACATAAATTTTAGTTCGAAAAAGAAACATGGGGTGAACGTATGAGTTATCTGCGAATCATTGATGTTTTCCCAGTGGTTGAAAAGTGACTGAACTTCTAGCTTTCTGAAGCAGAACTGAGTAAAAGTTTGTCAGTTAAACTGAACCATGACGTCGCCAGTGTTCTACGCATTACTGGTATCGGCTTTTCTTGTGAATGGTCAGATAAGAAATAATTCGGACGATGAAAAAGTTGGGCAGACAAAAAGCCATGAGGAGGTGACTCTGGTGAAGAGAATACTGAACTTGAATGGCTCGAATGATGGCTTACGTGGGACGGTTGAGGTAACTAATCAACCAAAGGATTCCGTGGTGGGCCAGGTAAACGACTCTGAGCATATGCATCGCCCGATCGGTTCCGTAAATAAGGGTCTACAGTTGAGCGATTCCGTGCTGTTGCGTCGCCTGAACGACATGGGTGAGAAGCTGAAGGCTGGGGGAACTGTGGACCAGGTAGGAGTGATGATGGCACAGTTGGTGGAGGAACATCTGTCCGAATGTCACCTAGTGCTGGCCTCGGTAACACGAAACTCACTTCTTATATCCAGGATTACCAGGTGAGTTACCTCAGAATAATGCGTTATGTCTTTCCATTTCCAACGATCTTTTTCTACTCGGTCTCTTGAACTTATATATCTATCTAACTATAGTGTTTTCTTCTTTCCTTGTGGTTATCAGCATATACCTCGATCACGCGCACCTACAGTGATTTACTTGCATATATATATATATATATATATATATATATATATATATATATATATATATATATATATATATATATATATATATATATATATATATATATATATATAAGAGTATTTTAGTTATATGAACTGGTGTAGCCACACCAAAACAACGTAAATAATATATCTTTCTCATATTTTATCTCTCAATTTCATGCACAATTCCAGGCACATAGTAGAGATGACAGGGACGTACGTGCTGGTAGAGGCTGAGTCATTATTTGCCCAGCGGGACCAGCCACAACAACACTTCCTGCTCCAGCACTTGTGGGGGGCAACCACCGACACCTGCAAGGCCCTGGTTCTTGATCTAAATGACAGCGACATGCAACTCGCCTTCTGGTATTATAATAATAATAATAATAATAATAATAATAATAATAATAATAATAATAATAATAATAATAGTAATATTATTATTATTATTATTATTATTATTATTATTATTATTATTATTATTATTATTAAATAAAATATAAATAATAATAAATAATATTTACAATAATTGTCTAGCAGAGTCGTAACATTAGCATGATTTTTTCTTGTCAACGTTGATTATCTAAAAGCATGAATTAAAATCTGTACGATGTCCTAAGGAAAACAATATACTTTAGAAATATGTTTTGCTGTACATATAAACAATTAAATACTTCATCAATGTGAAACTGAGTATTGGCCACTTATTATAAGTAACATATGTCTTCGTATTAACAATTGTTGACATAGACGAAGAAAAGGTTGGCAGATAAGGGCAACTCGTGTGTGTGTGTGTGTGTGTGTGTGTGTGTGTGGTGTAATGCATCTAGTGTGGCAGCATTATGTTTGTGTTAAGGTGCAAACACTGCTTGCTTCCTCTCGCTTTCAGCTACCGCCGCTGGCTAGCCCTCGTGGTGAACAGGGAAGCAACCTTGCGCAAGTCTTCCCCTGCCAGTATGCAGCCTCTTCACCATCAAAACTCCTGCTGTGCCTCCTTGTGGCAACATACGGTAACTGGGTGCCTCGCAGCCCAAGGCTAGACCAGCAGGGGATCTCGAAGCAACAGTGGACCCCAAAGAGACAGCGCAGAGGCCCACCTGCACGTGGACACGCCCTGGCGCCTACCAACCACTGCCCCTCTGCCTAGTGGATTAACCTTGGTAGGCATCAAGCTACGGGACTAAACCACGAACGAAAAATCTGCTGTGGAATCCCGCATCAGGCAGACATGCTTAAAGAACTCAAACAAGACCCCAACGGCGGTATAGGCAGAAGCGGTGACCAACATGGGAACCCAATGACTAAATCGTTGGAGGAA